TGGGGGATTTTGGTTTCAGAAATTAGGTTAACCTCCAAGTACTTACAATTCGATGATTAAGGCCAGGGTCTGGAAAATTTCTTTAAGGTTGCGGGGAGATCTGGTATTGGCCTTGCAGGGGCGGAGTGGATAAAGGACGACATCTGTTTTCAAGGAAATAGAGGAGGCTGGCGACCAAAATCCTCCACCCCGGCCCCAACGGGGGGGGGGGGGGGGGGCCTTCGGGATGTCGAGGTCGATGTGCGCGGCCTGCACGAACGGGTAGGGCATCGAGCTCCCGTGGGCTGGCTTCTGCAGCTGCAGCGGAGGCAGGGCGGCGCCGATGGCGAGCCCGCGCACGGCGGCGTCGTAGAAGCGGCGCGAGTCGCCCCTCATCTCGACCGAGAGGCCGAGCCTGCTGTCGCTGGCGTCGTGCTTGAGGAGGCGCGCGAAGAGGCTCGAGACCGAGTACATGTCCAGCTCGCGCGGAGGCACCTCGAGCTTGCCCGAGATGGGCCACCAAGGAGAGGTGCCGCGCGCGACGTAAAAGCCGGGCGGCGTGCGCACCGCCACGAAGCGCACTCCGTCGACGCCGGTCTGCTCGTTTCGGTCGGTGTGGATGTCGAGGTCGATCACGTCGAGGCTGGAGAGGGAGAAGGAGGACGGGTTCGAGATCTGCGCCTGCAGCTCGATGAAGATTGGAGCGCCCGGGATCGGCGGCGCCCCCCCCTCGCCCGGCATGTCGCGCACGCGGAACTCCTGCAGCGAGACGGTGAATCGCGACGTTAGTATGCTATGAGTGTATTACGTATGATTATGACGTGTGATACTCTCCTGCAGCGTGACGGGGAAGCCTCTGGCGGTATGCTGTGCAATATGGGCGCATGTGTCTCTCCTGCAGCGTGACGGGGAAGCCTCTGGCGCCGAGCAGGTTGACTGTCTTGGCGAAGCGCACGTTTGGGATCTTCCACGTGCCGACCTGCGGCGCGGGCGGAGGCGTGCGCGGCGTCAGAGGGTTGGCAGGCGGCGGGCAGCGGCGGGAGCGGGAGGGCGGTGGCGAGAGGCGCACCGTGGCGCAAGTGCCCTTGGAGAGGAGGCAGCCGTTCTCCTTGCCGCGCAGGACCACCGAGGTCATGGCCGCGACCTGCGCGAGGAGGCGAGGGCCGGCTCGGGAGGGGCTTGCTTCCGGAGGCTGGGCTCTCGAGGGTTGGCCGGCCTCAGCGCTCTTCCGTGCTGGGAGGCTGTGTCGGGCGTCGCCTGGAGGGAGAAGCGGTCGCCATACGTGACGGCCTGCACGAGGTGCCGGAACGCCTCCTCGTCCTCCACCACCAGCGTGCCCGCCATCGCCAGCCGCACGCTGCCGCCGCCGCCGAGGTTGAGCGGCAGGGTCTGTGAGCAGGGCGGGCGGCGCTCTCAGTTCGCGTGTGTGCGTCCGGGTGGCGGAGTCCCGGCGAGGCGCGTGCCGAGAGGACGCCGACGTGCCGCCCGTCGTGCTCGATGTGCAGGTCTGCCGAGCCGAGCGTCGACCGGACGGCGGTGTAGATGACGTCGACCGACATGTCGATCGAGCAGTCAACCGCCAGCATGCCCGCTCTGGCCTGCAGGCCCTCCCATGAGGCGGGCGCCAGCCGGACCTCGTGGATCTCGACCTCGGCGTGGTCCACGATCTTCTGCGCGATCGGGCGACCGACCACCTCGATGCTCAGCGCGGCGGCCTGCTCCCCGCCCCAGCCGCTCGCCGCTAGCGCCACGACCCCGACGATGAGGAGGAGAGGCCACAGGAGCCGCTGCCGCCACGAGCGCCGCGGAACGACGAGCAGCGGCGACGCTCCCAACGCTCCCAGAGCCGCGTGTCGCGTCTCCATCCGGAGCAAAACGGCACGAGAGCACGAAGCGCCTGCGCCTCCTGCGCCTCCTTAGGCGCTTGATGCGCACCACCTCCGCAGCCTCTCCCAGCTGCTCGGTGTGAACAGAGTTCGTACATGTACCCGAGCAGAGGGAGCGGAGTCGGCTGGGGCTATACCAGACAGGCGCACCACCCCAGTCTCAATCCCACCCCCCTGCGCGCGGGCTTTTTAGGCCCGCGGGTAGTCTCCCCCATCCCCAGGGCCTCCAGGGCTCGCACCTCAACCTCTCATAGACCAGCGCAAAGCGCCATAACGTATTTTCTGTGAAATGGGCATGTGTGAGATTGTCTCTCTCTCATGTGAGAGAGAGATTTTTTAGCAATTTGTTGTGTTTTGAGATTTTAGAAAACCAAGAAGAAATCACGACTGTCACAGTGATTTGTTTGGACTCGGCAGCTTGTCAGCCCTCAGCCGAAGCTGGGGCCGGTCCCGTAGCCGAGAGAGCCCGCGCCGTGAGTTCGACGCGGTCGGGAGGCCTTGCGGAGAGGCCAGCGAGGTGGCGATCGCTGTACTTCATGGTCGTCATCAAGTCACAAGTGACCGGCTGACAAGCCAGAGGTCGATACTCTGGACGACCCATAGGATGCCACGAATGCCTGAAGGAGAGGGAGGCGAGGCCGCGGTTCGAGCGAGCAGCTTTTGGCTGCGGGATCGAATCGCGGAAGGCTCATGCCCTCGCGGAGCGACGCGGGTCGCGCGGCGCGCGCGTGTGCGAAATGCGACAAAAGACGAAAGACGACAGGCGTCTGAGCGCTGAACGACTGAACGACCGTCGCCGCAATCGCCACCGCCGCCATTTTGACGAGCAGCGCGAGCGCGCTCGTCGGCGGCCAGCCGTCGCGGGCCGGGCCGAGCCCGGCCTCAACCGGCCGCGCCGCCGCAGCAGGCCCGGAGGCCCACATGGCGGCCGACCAGCTAATAAGGAGGCTCATCTCCCCTTCTCTCTCTCTCTCTCTCTCATGTGTGTGTGTGTGTGGTGGTGGACGGCGGGGGGTTGTTTTTTGGGTTTCATGTGTGTGTGAGATTTTAAGAAGACCAACCAGAAATCACGACTCTCTCTCTCTCTCCCTCTTGTGTGTGTGTGTGTGTGTGTGTGTGTGTGTGTGTGTGTGTGTGTGTGTGTGTGTGTGTGTGTGTGTGTGTGTGTGTGTGTGTGTGTGTGTTGTCTCTCTGTGTGTGTGTGTGTTGCGTGTGTGTGTGTGTGTGTGTGTGTGTGTGTGTGTGTGTGTGTGTGTGTGTGTGTGTGTGTGTGTGTGTGTGAAGAGATAGGGAGGGAGGGAGAGGGAGTGAGAGAGAGAAATAGGATCGGGACTGCTCCCTTTTATTCTGGCGGGTCCGGGTCACGGGTACTTTCAGGGTTGCATGCAAGACACCTGGTAGGCGACCCGTCCACTTGGCTAATGACCTCTGCCGCCACCTCCGTGTGCGATTTCCGCAAGCTGCCTCGGCCAGCGCTGAATCGCCTCGCAGCGCACTACGGCCTCACGCCGGAGTCCAGCCTTGCGTCCAGTTCACTGGCGGTCGCCGTCAGCGAGGCGTTTGCGTGCGAGGCGGTTGACGAGGAGCAGGTGCACGCGGGCTTGTTGTGCGAGCTGTGCGAGCTTGGCGGCTGCTGCCCTCACCCGCCATCGAACGAATGCGTGTAGGTGTTGCTAGGGCTACTTCGGCACGATGCGAGCAGAGGGAGGAGAGGGAGCAGCAATGGGCGCCTGGAGAAGCGGGCCACCACGGCCGCTGCTCGCGGCGGCAAGCCGAGCGGTGCACGCGGGGTCGGGGCGCCGAATGGCCACGCGAGCGCGACGCCGCGGAACAGCAAGCGGGCGCGCGGCATGACCTACGGCGACATGATCTCGGCCGCCCTCAAGGCGCTGCCCTCACGGAGAGGCACGCTCGAGGACATCTACAGCGTGATTGAGGAGGAGTTCAGCGCGCAGCTCAACACCGAGCTCGAGGCTGGGCCGCGGCAGGCGGGACGCCACCAATCTGCTGCCAGCACCGCCACCCGCCCCGCCTTTCCCGACTGAGAGCCCATTCTTCAACATGCCGCCACAGGTGCCAGTCTGGAAGGCAAGCGTGCGCAAGATCATCAACCTCAACAGCGTCCGCTTCCACCGCACCTCAGCGACGGATGCGAGCGGCCACACCATCTTCGAGCTCGCCAAAGGCGCAAGCTAGAGGCCCTGTGTCTGCACCGCCTCCAGCGCCGCAACCATGTGCAAGAGGCCAAGAGCGCGGCCCGCGGCGCATGAATGACATTTGACATATCGCGCCGCATGATGAGCGTCGCATTATGTCCCGCAACCATGTACAATCTCCACCAGGCTCCACCACACTACACCGTACTCTGTTGTCCCATATGTATTGTTCTACCGTAGAGAGTATGAGCAAATAATTGGCTTGGCTTGCGCGCGCGGCTTTCACAGTTTCACTCGCGTCCGCGTGGAGCCGTGTGTCGGGCGAGGAGAGACCCCAGAGAGAGAGAGAGAGAGTGAGCGACAGCGAGAGCCCGAGCGGACGGTCCGGAGAGAGCGAGGAAAACATGGACGCGACGAGCCGCGCGCAATAACCAACCCATCCCGTCGCGGGGTGTGCGTCCAATTAACAGCGCACAGCGACTATCTCTTGGCCTCGGTGTCTTTCGGCTCCATGTGCAGCTCCGGATTGAGCGAGTGGCCTAAGACAACCAATCGTGAGCGAGATGTGGCTGATGGCGCTAGCAACCATAGCCATGTAGTAGGTTCGGACCCAGCGACAGTGTTTCTCGTGTGGTGCTGGGCCGGGATGGGGAAGGCGGAGAGGCTTCAGGCGTGCCTTTCGGGAGCGGGTATCCGTCCACCGCCTCTGCAAAGCGAACGACGAGGTTCTCCGGCGCCTTCGCAACGGCAGACGGATCAGGACGCTGCGCGACGCGTAGTTCGAGCTGATAGGAATCTACACACAATTTCGGCGCCCTTCACCGACACCATCGCCTTTAGGATCGCATCTGCCACCTCCTTGCGCACCGCAGTCGACCTGCGGCACGCCTTAGGTAGCCAGGTCACCTGCACGAAAGGCATGGCGGGCGCCGGCGTAGCAAGAGAGAGATTCGCAACCCGCCCTCGCACAACACGAGAAAGAGAAGGCGCACCGCGCAAGGAGACATATTTCCCACTTTCCGCACAAATGTGGCACCCGTGGCTCTCGATCCGTCCACTTTGCTCTGGACTATGCCGACCTGAAACCACCAGCGCCAGCAGCGACGTGCCGCGGCTCGCCGCGCCGCTATTGCGACCGACGACGTGCCCGACGCCGTCCCGCGGCCGCCAGGAAGAGGCCCGCGCAACCACTTCTGGGACCCGCGGCCGCCGGGCGTGCGGCGGCACAACGAGTCGAACGAACCGATCAGCGCAGAGCGACGCGTCTCGCGAGCGCCCGCGGCCGGCATGCCGCCGCCGTCCGCGGCCGACGGTGGTCGCGAATCAACGCGGCGCGGTGCACCTCACGGATGTGTCGTTGAGGTGCCGCGTCACCTCGGGCTTTTCCTTATCCCCGAGGATGATGCTGCCAACCGAGCGCGCCCGGATGGCATTCTGGGCGGCCCTTAGCACCCCGTTGTGCTTGGAGGTGTGCGGTCGCCTTTGTTGGAGTTGGCGAGGGAGTCGGACGGTGTCACGACGTGACGGGTAGACCGAGAGGACAGCGGCCGCAAAGCTCGCATCCGTCGTTTGTGCGTGCCCGCCGAGGCCGCAGCCACCGAAGCGCCCGTCCTGCCGGGCCTCCTCCCAGGCCTGGTCGATGAGCTCCTGCGGGCTGTGGCCCGCCTCAGCCAGCAGCACGAACGACTTCTTGAGCGCCGGCTCAACCACTTCCTCGAGCACTGGCCGGACCACACACGGGTACACGTGCGCATCCAGTAGAACGGCGTTGAGCTGCGGCAGCGCATCATCGAGTACCGCAGCTGCCGGACATCGTGGTTCTTGTCGTCGTCTCGAAGCTGGTCGACCCTCTCGAGGACCGAAAGCGCGCCGTAAAGTCTCAGCCGAGAGGTTGTCGCGCTGCCACTTCCGCCCGGCCTCCGTGTCCGGGGCCAAGTACACGCCGACTAGCTTGAGGCCGACGAGCTCGCCGCCCTGCATCTCGAGCTGCTCCGCCGGGATGCCCTCCACTCCGCCTCCAGGCCGAAAGTACTTCACCTTCTTCACGTTGGACACCGTGTTGCAGAGCGCCTTCCTGTTCGCCTTGAGCGCCTTGTGCACATTCTCGGCGTCAGCGCTGGCCGCCCTAATCGACGTGTCGTCAGCCTGGATGACGAACTCCGCCTTGGGGTACTTGAGCTGCGTCTTCCGCAGCGCCTTCTGGTAGGGGAGGCAGCATCCGTTGGTGGCCAGCACGCAGCCCTGCTGGCCGCCCTCTGCCGACCTGACCGCCTTCATGCGCACCGTGGCCGCATCGTCCGACGGCGAGATGTCAAGCGGGCGATCGTCGGTGTCGTCTCCCCGCTCGTCACCGCCGATGTCCGTCATGTCACGCTCGAGCACGTCGAGGGCCCCGCATGGCACAGCGAGCTCTCCATCCTGGCAGTTGAAGTAGATCTTGGATGGCGAGCCGTAGAAGACCGAGTACACGGGGACGCACTGCTGGAAGAGCGGCTCCTCCCGCAGCGCCTTGAACATCGCCACGCGGCATGTGGCGTTGTACATGCACTCGATGTCGTCGTCACTGATGATGTCGTCCTTGCAGCGGGGCGACTCCATCCACGAGCGCACATGGTAAGCAGTGCGCTCGCACCCCGCCTTTGCAAAGACATTGTTGCGGACGAAGTTGCGCGGCTCCTTCACCTCACCGAGGTGCCGCGCCGCCTCCTCGACCGCGTGCTTGGACGCCGTGACCGTGAACGCGTCCGCCTTGACCGCCTCCGCATGGGCGGCCGCCTGCTTCGCATGCGAGAGGGCGGCCTCAGCCGAGCAGATGTCCGCCTCCCAGTCGGCCGCGTCGTCTGGATTGGCATCGTCGTGTAGTATCTGTTCCACTCCGGAGCCAAGTCGCACGTCCCCGCCTTGCAGCAGAGGCGGCGGAGCGCACAGCCAATGGCAATCGGGCGGATGCGCGCATCAGGCCCCTCCGTGCACAGCGGGTCCTTGTAGAAGGCGCACGCCCGCACGTCGCAGATGATGCCCTTGACGCCGTCGGTCACGGTGCCGCACCAGATGCGGCTTTGCACATGCCCCTGATGCCGTCCTGCGTACCGCACTTGTATATGACGCTCCAGTCCTCCATGGTGTCCCCGAGGATGCCTGGCGCGCGGAGGCGTGTTGCAGAACACCTTGTCGATCGAGGCATCCTTCGGCTTGTACGCCTTCACCGTTCACACGCCCTTGACAGGCTTGAGCAGCCCCGGTGCCCCCCGATCTGCTTGTTGGTCAAGAAGAAAACCAGAATTGGTCCCGCCCCTGCGTAATACCTTTCTCCCTGTATCTCTGTATCTGTAGCCTCCTGGCCGGTTTGAGAGAGAGAGTTGTTTGCCGCGCACATGCCGGGGGCCCGCGGCGTCTCTCATCTTCTGTTCTCTCTTTGCACTTTTTGGCGTTTGGGGATGTGGCGAGGTTACGCAGTGTTATAACAGTGCTCTTGCCGCGCCGTGCTGTGCGCCCAAGTTTATCCAAAGTGACGCACAGAATGTAGACCACCACAACACACGTGCGTACGTCGACACACGCGTTGACAGGATGACAGCCGGTTGCTCACACAGATTTGTGCGGCAGCGGCGGAGGCGTGGCAGCGGCGGCACCTGGCCCGGACGAGTACAGCGGCGGGAGAGTCCCAGCATGACACAGCACAGAGGCCGATAGTGCGATAGGTGCGTCCCCTTCGCCTAGGGTGGGCGCGTGGAGGGAGGGGAGGACTGCTCTCGGAGGGTGGCCTCGAGGCGCTCGCCCCGGCTAAGCCAGAGGCCGGGCCGCTCACGGATGCTGCGGAGGGCGGTTCGCACGCGCTTGTCCACCCGCGGAAGCTCCTCGGGCCTGTAGGCTCCGCTGGTGAGCATCACGACGCCGTGCGGGCGGTATATCTGCAGCGTCGGCACCGACGTCACACCGAGCGCGTCGAGGAGAGGGCGAGCGCTGCGCTGCTCCGCCTCGTAGCAGTCGACGCCGGAGGAGAAGTCGAGCGCGAGCCGCCGGTACTTGGCTGCAATCCGCAGGCACGCGCGGCAGCGCTGCGAGTAGAATTTGACTGCGAGGAGCCGCCCGCGAGCCTCGGCGCGCTCGTTCGCCGCGAGAAACTGCTCGACAGTCACGAGGCTCGGCACGAGCTCTGAGTACGTGGTGGCTGGCTGCCCCGCGCGCGCCGCTGCCGCCTGCGCCGCCACCGCCGCCTCCTCCCTCTGCAGCTTGCAGTCCTCGTCCGTGATGAGCACCTCCCGCCATCGCACGGGCCGCTCGCAGTCCGGGGTCGCCTGCCAGCGAGCGGGAACGCGCGGCGACTCGCGCAGCACAGCGGTCTCGCAGCGCAGCCGGCTGGACGGAGACGTCGGAAAGGGCAGAAAATGCCACCACGGAGCGACTGCGAATAGCATTGTGACCACCGCCGAGAAACGCAAAATGCGAAGTCAGACCGTGGTTTTCGGCGCAACTTGAGCCGCTGATCGAGCCCAGCGTGCCCGCGGCCGCCTCCCGCGCAGCACCGCCGCTGGGGACGGACTGTGGTTGCAGGAGAATACCACCACCCATCACTTTAAGTTGGTAGTAGAGAAAGAAAGAAAACAGACAACCCAAGGGAGGGATGGGAGGACGGCACGCCGCTACCGTCGCCCACCCTAACCCTTGGTCGTCTCCCTCTTCCTATCTCTCTTCGCAGTCTCTCGCCGATTCTCGCTGCAACCTTCATGCCACCTCGCGGTCGTCCCAATCTCGTCGTTCTCCCTCCTGCCGCTTCCTCCTCTGTCGCGTCGCTCTCGTCTCCCACCTTCACCCACCTATGATTTCTTTTTAGTTTCCCTTAAGTAGGGTAGGTAGGTAGGTAGGTAGGTAGGTAGGGGCACCGCAGGGGCCGGACAGGTTTTCCAGAATTTCAAGCTTCCTAGCAAATAAAGAAAATATCCAAGGCCGACCCCCACACTTGAGTGTAGGTTGTCGGCGAGAGCCCGCCTGTGTGGACTGTGGCCAGGACCTGCCACCGCCCTGCGCCCACACAGCGATGTCGTCGCCCAGCCTGGACGGCGGCCTCTTGGAGGGCCTGCTCGAGAAGAAGCCGGTCAGCGTGCTCGCGCGCAGCATCGGCAGCACCTGGCGGCCGCGCTACATCGTGCTCCGCGCTCAAAGCCTAGAGTGGCACCACGGCGGCGACGAGAGCGGCGAACTGCAGGTGCTCCTCCTCGACGCCCGAGCTTCGCAGGTCCGAGCCGCCGGCGATGCGGGCGACGACGCGGAGCGCTGCCTCACCGTGAGCGGCACGGTGCGTGGCCAGCCTGTCTGCCTCGTGCTGAGGTGCTCCGACGCCTCCGAGCGAGACGCGTGGGTGCGCGCGGTCTGCCGGTGCATCGAGTCGCTCAAGGCCATCGTGTTTGACGCTGCCGTCGCCCAGGCGGAGCGCAACCTCGAGACCATCGCGCGCGAGCACGGCGCGCGGGTGCGCCGCGCCGCCGCGGTGCGCGAGGGCGTGCGGTTGCTGATGGAGCGCTTCTTCTCGTCGTCCGCGGCGGTCGCGTCTGAAACGGAGTCGTTCGAGCCCGACCAGGCGGGCCTGGCTGACGCACTCGCGTCGTGCCTGCTGACGCGGCAGGCGGAGGCGCGTGCGTGCGCGGCCGCCTCGCAGACCGAGGCCTCGGCTGCAGAGCCGCAGCAGGCGGCCCGGGAGCCGCGAGCTGCGGCTGTGAAGATGCGCTGCTCGCACCGTCTACCTTGTGAGCAGGCGGAGGAGGAGCTGCGCGAGCTGCAGCTCTTCTCGTGGCAGCCGCTCGTGGCGCGCGAGGTGGAAGAGAACGCCACTCAGCTCGTGCGCGGCTGGGGCGGCGCGGCCGACCTCTCCTCCATCGCGGCGCGCCTCGACTGGGCCCTCGGCATCTCGGAGCCCTTCGAGCTCGGCGTGTCCGAGCTCGGCCGCTTCTTGCCGGGCATGCGGCTGCCGCCGCCGCCGCTGGACGGCGGCCCGCTCGCCCGGTGGCAGCACTACCGCGCGTGCGTGCACAGCGCCTTGGTGCGCCGGCTCGTCGCTCTCGCCATCGGCGCGCCCGCATCGCTGCGCGGCTTTGCGGCCGTGCTCGAGGCGCCCCACTCGCCGCGAAGGACATCTCGAGGACACGTCCAGACACGTCCCTCACACGCGTCCCCATCCCAAAGGCGCAGTACGACTCGCCGCTGAGATCGAGCCCGAGCGGGCAGCCGCCGTGGCTGCACGTCGCGCCCGATGGCACGCGGTGCAGGGTTCTGCGCCGCATCACCGACAGCGCCACCAAGCCGCTCGTCGTCGAGGCCGCGCTCGGCGACAGCGGCGCTCGCCTCACATTCTCCTTTTTTCACTGTTCACGTCTGTCTTTCGTAGGTCGTGCTCGGCGACAGCGGCGCTCGCCTCACATTCTCCTTTTTTCACTGTTCACGCCTGTCTTTCGTAGGTCGTGCTCGGCGACAGCGGCGCCGACGCGGCGGACGAGGCCGCCGCCGACGCCGAGGCGGACGCCGAGGCGGCGGCCGACGGCTCCGAGGCGCGCTTGCTGGCGCTGGCGATACAGGCCTCCATCGAGACCAAGGCGGAGGAGGACCGGGCGCTCGACACCGGCGCAGGCGGGCTGACCGAAGAGGAGCAGCTGGCGTGGGCACTCCGCGAGTCAGCCTCGCCCGCGTCGCCGCACTCGCCAGCCCAGCCGTCGCCGCCGTTGTCTGCAGAGCCGTCCTCGCCGCACCGGCCTGCCCAGCCGGTTTCGCCGTCTCCTGCACAGCCATCCGAGCCGGTTTCGCCGTCTGCAGCGGAGCCTTTGCCGCCAGCGCCGGCCGCGAAGCCCTCATCGCCGCAGCCAGCCGAGCAGTATTCGCCGCCGCCGCAGCCACCGCCGCCGTTCCCGCCGCCGCCGCCGCCGCCGCCGCCGCCGCCGCCGCCGCCGCCGCCGCCGCCGCCGCCGCTCCCGCCAACGACATCGACGCCGACGACGACGTTTTCCGAGGAGCGTGCCGGCTCACCGCGGGAGGAGGCGGTCCCTCCGGCCGAGGCCGCTGGATCCACGCCGCAGCCGCCAGCCGCGGCAGCGCTGCGCTCGTCGGGGCTCGACTTGTCATTATCGCTCCCGCCCCCGCCCTCCGCCCTGCCCGCGCCGCCCTCCTCCATCGACGCTCCGCCGGGCGAGGACGCCGAGGCCGCCGAGGACACGAGAGCCGCGGCCGAGGCGGAGTGCCTCAGTCCTCGGCTCTCGCCCTCGGCCGGCCGCGCGGTGACGGCCCGCTACCTGTACAAGCGCGGCGACAACCTCTTCCAGGACGTGCTCGTCCTCATGCTCCTCGACGAGATGAATGCGCTCTGGCGCGCCGCGGGCTCCGCCGCCTTCACGCTGACGTACGCCGTGGTGCCGACCGCCGAGCGGGCCGGCTTCATCGAGCTGCTCCCCGAGGCGGTGCCGATTAAGGCCGTGCCCGACTTCACGTACTCGCGCGCGCTCCACCACTCCGCCGCCGGCGCCTTCATCGCCGGCTTCGTGCTCGGGCTCGCCGACCGGCACCAGGACAACATGCTGCTCGTCGGCCCGCGGCGCGACATCTTCGTGCACATCGACTTTGGGTACGTCGCCGGCGCGCGCCCGTGGTTCGACGCCAACCTGCTGCCGATCCCGGAGCGCTTCTACCGCTGCCTCACCGCCTCTGGCAAGTGGGACGAGTTCCTCAACGACTGCGTGTTCGCCTTCACCATCCTGCAGGCCAACCGCGCGGCGCTCATCGCCATCGCGCAGACCTTTGTCGAGCCGCTGGTGCGAGCCGGCTACCCCGAGTACATCGACAACGTGCTGCAGCAGCACACGCCGGACCAGGTGCGCGAGCTGGTGCAGGCCGCGCCAAACGACCTGGCCAGGCGGTTCAAAAACATGCATCATAAGCTGTCGCATTGACCATCAGTGTTTAGTCTGAGTGGTGTGTGTGTCGTTGTGTGTGCGTTTGGTTGCACCTGAGGAAAAGATAAAGCCGTAAATTTACAACAAACTGCTCAGACGACTGGTTGGGTAGTAGTCTAAGTTCTGAGCCTCGAGGCTGAGCGGGTCTAAGTGTGACTAGTCACGCTGGGGTGCTTACGCGGTCTAAGATCAGCGAGAGCCTCTTACATCGGCTAAGTCGGCCGTGGCACAGCCTGGGGCCAAGAGGCTCCCACCGTGATCAACGATACGGCGCTAGCCCCCAAATTTTCTTCGCCTGCGGCGGGCGCCTTCTAATCCGGATCGATCCTTCTCATGCTCAGCAATCGCCGCCTCAGCATCCTCCTCTTCCGATTCTCGTTGCTCTTCTTGAGCGCAATCTTCAAGCCAAACAGTTCTCACAAATAGCCTCAAGCTCAAACAAACGCATGTCAAGGAAGCCTGTGTATGCTGGTCCTCTTTGAACGATCCGCGCGTGAGGTAGATCTAGCATAGGGCCTTGTTGGCAGCAGCCAGCTTGTTGCGCTGCTTCGTTGCGATGAGCTGATTGGGATCGCAGAAGTGCATGCCAAGCACCGCCACGATCTTGAAGCAGAACACATCGCAACCGCATCGTCCGCACTGCCATCGGCATGCCGCGCCCGCCGCTTCGCCGCAGCCGCCTTAAGACACGCATAGCGGCAGCACATGGTACGGTGCGCGTACTTGAGCAGGAGTTGCGCGCCGCAAGTAGCGCACTGGCCCTGGGACAAGGCGATATGGCGTCGTGCGCGGCATACGTTGGTCGGGACGCGTCCAGGTATTTTTCGGGTAAACCTGGACTTTTGCAGGTATACCCGGGTTTTACCCGGATTTGGCCTTGTGCCGTCTAAGTTCATGGCCCCCGACCATACAGCGTCTAAGTCCGAGCCCGGCTCCGTGCGGGGGCTAAGTTGAGCGCTCGCTCGCTGCAGAGGCTAAGTGTAGAGCGACCCTCTAGCCCTACTACCCAACCATTCTCAGACGTGACTCAGAGGACAGAGCTCACTCCTCGCACTCAATGCACACGTCGACAGACAGACTCTCACGGTACTCATCCCACTCTCAACGCCCGAGAGCTACGAGGGCGGCGGCACTGGGTTCTGTCTGGTCGCGTGAGGCGCGGGCAAGCGGCCGGTGGTCGGACCGGAAATCTGAACGAACCGCCGAGCGTCGTGTTGCGGGCCGAGCGCGGCACCGCTATCCTCTATGGCGGCACGGTGCCGCACGCCGGCATGCCGGTTCTGCACGGATGTCGGGCCAGCTTCCTTGCGAGCTTCTCCACGAAGCGAAACGACTTGGTTGGCGAGAGGTTTGTTGGTTGGCGTCGCTCGAGTTTTAGTTGATCACCAATGAGACATTTCGACGAGCACGGTCACGTTGAAGCACCCCTCCTCTCCACATAAACGCACAACCCTGGGCCCGAAATCGCACAGTGTAAGAGTACCCGTAGCTCAGCGCCCACGTCCTCGTTCTGCCGCCACAGTAACCGGATGGCCGCTCCAGCCGTGAAGAGGGAGTGTACTGCCCATGCCTCTCTATTTGCCCCTCCTTCTCGCTGGGCTGCTCGTCCGAAGAACACCGCCTCCGCGCTGCGGCCAGCCTCTCGCGTGTGCCTCCGAGCCGGTCTCGCAAGGCCGGACGCAGGCAGCGGTTGACGTGAGCAGCGCCAACTCCACCTACTCCAACCTCTGCCGGATGTGTGGTGTCTCGACGCAGCAGGATGCCGAGATGGACGTGGACGGCTTCGTACTCGCCTTTGAACAGCTCTTCTGCAACGGCGCTGCGCTCGCTCCGGAACTTGCGGACGAGCTTTGCGCCGCCGTCAGCGCTGCTGATGGCGAGGACGTGAGCCGCGCGGGCTGGGCGGCGTTCCACGCGCGGTGGCAGGAGGCGAGCTCGGCTGCAGCGCACCTCGCGGCGATGACTGCGTCGCGGCGCGAGGCGGCGGCGCTGGCTGAGAAGGAGGCGCGGCTCGCCGAGGCGGCGGAGCGCGAGAGGGCGTGGGTGGAGAAGCAGGAGGAGTACATCCTGGCGCTCGCCGAGGCGAAGAAGGCGGCCAAGGAGGCGGCGGCCAAGGCGGCCGAGAGCGCGCGGCCAAAGCTGATGGCCGACCTGGCGAGGCGGCCGGGCAACTGGTTTGAGCAGAGGGAGGGCGCGGCGCAGGTGGCGGCTGCGTACCGCTCGCTCGACCCGGAGGCGTGGGAAGAGGTGACACGGTCGGTGGGCGGGCTCGGCGAGACGCTGGAGACGATCCGGAGGCGCATCTGGGTGCCTCTCTGCGCGCCTCGCTACCTGCTCGACGAGCTCGGCGCCGAACGGGTCAAGGGGCTGTTGCTGTACGGCCCTCCCGGCTGTGGAAAGTCGTACCTCGCCTCGAGGCGCACGGCTGCATCTCGGCCACATCTCGGCGACATCTCGACCACACCTCGGTGACATCTCGGCTGCACCTCGGCCACATCTCGGCCACACCTCGCCTCGAGGCTTTGCCAAGCGGGAGCTAGCGGCCACAGCCTGCGCACCCGCCCGTGTGAGAGGCGCGGGGCCCGCCACGTAGGCTCGCGCACGGGCTCTCTCGCCGGCCCGCCACGCTGGTGAGCGGGCCCGAAATCATGGACAAGTGCGTCGGCGAGTCGACGAATCAGCCGGTTGCCCCTCCACTCATCTCCCGCCGCCTGCTCCTCGAGGTACGTCGGCAACTCGGAGGCGCAGCTGCGAGACCTCTTCCTCAAGGCGGCGGCAGTAGCAGCGGGAGAGGAGTAGTCGCGAGCGACTCGGGCGGCAGCGGCAGCAGCAGCAGCAGCGGCGGCAGCAGCAGCAGTAGCAGCAGCAGCAGCAGCAGGTACGGACACCCTCTGGTAAAGCGTCCTCCCCGCCCTCTTCTGCAGGCGCCGAACGTGCCTGCGCGGCCCGGAGACGCCGAGGACGTCATGATCGCAGCCGAGGACAACGAGCTCCACGTCATCGTTCTGGACGAGTTCGACGCGATCGCCCGCCGCCGCTCCGAGGACAGCGGCTCCTCCGAGGGGGGCGCGGCGCGCGACTCGGTGGTCAACCAGCTGCTCGCGCTGATGGACGGCGTCGCGGGGCTGCCCGTACCCACCTTCGTCGTCGCCCTCACCAACCGGCGCGAGCTCGTCGACCCCGCGGTGCTGCGGCCGGGCCGCCTCGAGGTGCAGGTCGAGTGCGGCATGCCCGAGGCCACGGGCCGGGCAGCCATCCTCCGCATCCACCTCGAGCGGATGCGAGACTCCGGCCGCCTCGCCCTCGACGGCGGCGCGGCGGCCGGCGGCGAGTGCACGCTCGAGCGCGTCGACGAGCGCGCATTCGGCGCGTGGGTGGACGGCCTCGCCGCGCAGACGGAAGGCTTCTCCGGCGCCGCAATCTCCGGGCTGGTGCGCGCCGCCGTCGCGCGCGCACTCGACCGCGCCGTCTCGCTCGCCGACACCGCCGGCTGCCGCGTCACCGGCGCGGACTTTGGCGCCGCCATCGCCGACCTCCGCAGCTCGTCGCTCGAGCTGGAGCAGGCGGGGACCGCGGAGGGGGGGGCGGCCGACGCGGACCCCGATGCCGCGGGGCGGCGGCAGCAGCAGCAGCAGCAGCAGCAGCAGCAGCAGCAGCAGCAGCAGGCCGTGCAGGCCGTGCGAGGATCATGAGCTCCATCAACCTCTCTCGGCGGCCCGCCCTACCTCTGGCCTAGGCCCCGGCGGCACGGCGCTCTTAACGACAGCCGGCTATACAGCTCGTGCCGCCCCCAAGCCGCAAGCGCCCCGCGGTCGGCCCTGCGCGCAGCGCGGCGGCGTTCCACCTGTCCGCTGTCGGAGCCTGTCGTTGAGGGTTGAGCGAGTTGTGGGGCACGCCGCGCTCTATATACTACTTACAATACTCTACTCTCTCGGGTGTGCTTCCGCGGTGGTCAGGGCGCTTCCGCGCGGGCCGCCCGCGGGTGTACACGTAGTACGGTTCGTAGCTCTGGGCCGGCGCGGGGGCCCCAGAGGGTGTCCATGCGGGGGGGAGATGGGGTCCCCCAGCCCGCCGCAGGCGCCGATTTTTTCGCGCTTTTTTTCTTTTTTTGCGGATTTTTTGCTTGTTTTCATGGGAATTCGGCGTACTTGCGGCCATGCTATCACGCCTTGCGACAGCCTGTCGGCGCTGCTGACCGTGCCATGATGCACAATTGATCACCTGCATAGCTCGCGGCCTTAGTATCAAGCATTCAGTGACGACCTGATCGTACGGCCAGTAGGAAGGTGTCCTTCCATCGTGTGCACGCTTCTGACGCAATGCGCGTCACCTCGGATTGGCTGCTGGCACTCTCGAGGCTATGCCTACACAGCCTCGCGCGCATGGGCAGTCAAAAGGGACCACGCACTTCTCAGGACAGCGCCGGTGCCTCTCTCTTGGACCGGCAAACTTGGTGGTATCGTGTCACCAATGTGGGACCAGTGCGGCATCGCGCCATCGACAGCTCTGAACTGCGCCTCACCACTGACCGGGAAGGCCGCCAAGTGGGCCAGCACAGGTCGCACATGTGGCAGCAGTCAGCAGTGCATGGCTGATAGCTAGAGCAGCAGCGTCAGGATCGCAGGGTCGGATCGTGTCAAGCCTCTCGCCCGGCCGGCCGCGTGCAGACGTCGGCCTGTCTGCTGTCTGCAGTGATCTGTCGGCGGTCAGTACGACCGATCAGGTTGGAGGTTTCTCATGATTGGAGGGTCTATCTGTGTGTACTCCTCGAGATCTCTCCAAATCTGCCCTCTAATCAACCGTAATCATTCGGGAAGTTGGTGCTCTGAGCGACTCTGAGCGCCGGAGCCCCGTTTCCGCACTGCGGCGCGGCGCACGGTGTGGGCCGGGGCCCCCGCGCCGGCCCAGAGGTTCGTAGGAAGTACGTACGTGTCTCTGAGACTGAGTCTCGCGGCGGCGCGTCGGACTCGCGGGCGGCGGCGGGCGGGGGACGCGCGGCGCGCGCCACCGCGCGGGCGTTTCGAGAGCAGATTTTCGTGTGTTTTTCGCGAGTAAAAATAAGCGCGGCAGTCGATCCGGCCATCGACCGAGCCCCTTATGTATCCGTGCGTTAGCGAACGATCATTGCATCACAACTCGACACATTGCTCATTGGCTCCTGGCCGTCCCGCCACACTCAACTCACACACAATATAATGTCATCTGCCGCCCCGCGTCTCGCTTCGCCTCGCCGCTCTTCCGGCGGCGCGATTTTTCGCCTTCTCCTTCTTCCCAACAGGCCCGCGACGCTTCGCCTTGCCTTCCTTCTTCTTGCGCCTCGCGCCAGCGGCCAGCTTGCTTTTGTAGCCGGGGATGGCGGTCGCCAACGGCTGGTCGAGGTTGAACTTCTTCTCCTTGGGCCGCGGCGCGCTCGTGCCTCGTTGCTCGGCGGGACGGCCGCGCGGCCGCGGCTCTGGCTCCGGCTCCGGCTCGAGCGACTCGACCACGGTGGTGGCCGTCATGCCTTGGAAGTCGTAAGCCACCTCGTCGAGCGGCGCGGCGGGTGGTGGTGCTGCTGCGGCGGCGGGAGCGCGAGACTTCGCGCCGCTGGACGCGGCGGCCGCCGGCTCGCCGAGCGCCTCGCCCAGTCCGATGCCGCGCAGGCCCTTCAGCTGCTCGCGCTTCTCCTTGCGCTCCTGTATCTTCTCCTGCCGCACCTCCTCCGCGATGCGCTGCCGCGCCTTTTGCCGGCGCTCCACCTTGCGCTTGTGAAAGCCGGTGATGAACTCCTTGCGCGCCTTCTCGTCAAAGACGAGGACGGCCTTCTTGCCCATCGCTGAGCGGTTTGGATGGGCCTTGGAGGAGGGCGACTGGAGTGGGAAGCGCCCGGATCGCCTGGCGGCTTGCTGCGGCTCGGGGCACGAATCCCCTCCGTCACAAAAAGAAATGGTGCACACGCCCAAGGGTGGGCGACGGCTAGCGCATCACACCCTTCTCCTTAAAATCCCTGTGTGGTGGCGGCGTGTCGTCCTCCCATCCCTCCCTTGCGCCGTCTGTTTTCTTTCTTTCTTTTTCAGCCTTTTTTTTCTTTTCCGTTCGCCTTTCGCCGCGTCTGCTTGGGGTGACTCGGAATAGCTGATCGTAACTGGAAGACGATTAACCAGTTGATCGCCAGGGGGTGCCAGTAATCGCCTTGCGGGGGGAGCGGGGGACGTTCCCCTCGACAGCCCGCGTCTGGACTTTTCCTTTTGGGCACTGCCTGGCTGGAAGGAGACCCCCCCCCCCCACACACACACAAAAGAAATGATGCGGCGCCACTGTGACTTCTGCTAATTTTGGGGGGCGGCAATTTAACAGACGTGACAGCATGCCTGCAGGAGTAGCAGCCCGCGTCTTCTGATAAATGCAGTATGGAAGATACAAAGAGAGAGACAGTTTTGCCATCTGCCAGTGGCGCAGCCGCTCAAGAGCCCGACGGCAGTCGACTGGCCTCCAGTTCGAAACCCGACTCGCGCGCTGGCTCGCCAGAGCCCTCGCCAGAGCCCTCGCCAGAGCCCTCGCCAGAGCCCTCGCCAGAGCCCTCCTCGTCCTTGAGCATGACCGTGAAGAGGTCGCCCGGCAGCTTCCCCTTGTGACCTCGATCCTGTTCCCGCTGGGCGGGCGGACAAAGATGGTGTGCGCCGAGGAGGCGGTCGACTCCGGCATCGCAAACGTGTGAAACGACCACTCCGGGTTCTTGATGACGAGCTGCATGTGCTCCATCTGCAGAGAGAGCCGGCAGATCGACCGCTCGAGGCGCTCGAGGTCGGCGACGAGGCCGCCGTCGCGGAGATCGCGAATGTGCTTGTCGCGCTTTTTGATCTCTCCGACTCCGTGCTGGAAGTCGATCTTTTCCTGCAGATTCCGAATCTGAAGCCTGCAGGTCGCTCGAGGCTGCCATGCTGGACCAACTGCCGGAGTTGGACGCAAGAAGAAAACGCCGCGCGTCCTCCCTTGAGTTATCGGCTCCTATAATGGGGTCTTTTCATCGCAGCGCAGATCTATCGCAGCGCACTCGCCATCTGCGAGCCTAGCGCAGCGCGAACTCGCCGTCTGAGCCTAGCGCAGCGCGAACTCGCCGTCTGAGCCTAGCGCAGCGCGAACTCGCCGTCTGAGCCTAGCGCAGCGCGAACTCGCCGTCTGAGCCTAGAGCCGGCTCGTTTCTTTCAACAGCCCTGGCCGGCCTTTTCAGGCCTTCCGCGGTCCCAGTCGTCAAGTCACGGTAGCGCGCCTTTTGCCCCACACGATGGCATCCACAGCCGACGCCGAGGCGTGGGAGACGGACGAGCGCGGCTACGTCTTTGAGGAGCGGCTCGCGACCGCGGCGGAGCACAAGGACCGCGGCAACGAGCACTTCAAGGCTGGCGAGTGGCAGATCGCGCTGCGCCGGTACGAGCGCGCGCTCTACCACTGCGCCTTCGACCCGATGCAGATGTACGACCTGATGGAGAAGCACAAGGCCGCCGCGTACGCCGTGCAGACGCCCGTCAAGCTCAACTACGTCGCGTGCGTGCTGCAAATGCGCGAGGCGGGGCTGGACGTCGCGCCGGTGCAGGTGGAGGGCGAAGAGGAGCCGCGCGATCCGCTGGACCGGTGCGAGGAGCTGATTGGCGAGGTGCTCAAGGCCGAGCCGAACCACGCCAAGGCGCACTTCCGGCGCGCGCAGCTGCTCCGCGCGCGGGGCGACACACGTGCCGCGCAGGAGGCGCTCGAGGAGGCGGAGCGGGCGGGAGGCGGCAGCGCGAGCGTGCGCGCCGAGCAGTCGCGGCTGCGCGAGATGGCGCGCGCCGAACGGTCGCGCGAGCGCGAGCTCTACTCAGGCATCATCCAGCCCTCCTCCAACGTTAAGGCCGCGGATGAGGCGGCGGAGCGGAGAGCGCGCCGCGGGCAGCTGGTGGAGACACTGGCGCTGCCCGTGACGGGGCCGCTGCGCGCACTGTGGTGGGCCGCCGCCGCCCTCGTCTCGCTGCTGCGGAGGCTGTTCGCCGTGCTGCTCCGTCTGCGCCCCGACGGCGCGCTCGAAGCCGTGGAGTAGGGCGCAGACGAGGTCGTACGATGTTGGCACCGGGCACCGCCTGGCTTGTTTTATTTATTTATTTCTTGGGCACGGCACCCTGGCTGCTCTTTCTCTTCGAGCTTGGATTGGGCCGCCCTGCAGTCCTCCACATCCTTAAAGTCTTAAAGTGGAGCCAGCACTCCTTTGTCAAACGTGTGTCCAGCGTAATTATGCTCGTAGTGAGTCCTCACGTACCCTCATCTTTGCACGTTCTGAGTGCGTTTTCTTCTTCGAGGATCGAGCCGAGCACAATTCGCAGTGTTGGCTCCTCGCGGTTCATGAAGAAGAAACCGGCGTGGCCAGCGTACTGTGTCAGGTGAGCTCAGAGAGCCGCCCTCTGCGCGCGGGGCCTGGCGCACGCGATCCGGGCCATGTCGTTTAACCGTCCCTTTTATGTTTACCACCGCTCTGCGCTGTGCTGCCTCCTCGCCTGCAGTAGCCTGAAGCAGCTTCCTCCAAGTTACGCTGCGCAGCTTGGCGAGGAGCTCAACCCTCCGGTGATGTTCGACAGCAGGCCGTGTGTCAGGCGCACGGCGCTGGGCGCCTGTGCGGAGCAGGGCGGCAGCGCTGGAACGAGTACGACCGCTCCAGGTTCGCGGCGCGTGGTCGAATCCAGCCCGGCGAAGGAGATTGAGCCCGAGTCTGACCTCATTCGGGAGCTGCGGCAGCGGAGTGCCGCCAACGCCGCGATTAATGAGGAGCTGGTCAGAGAAAAGACGCTCGCCAACGGGCTTCCTGGTGGCTTTGGCCCGTTTTCGAGCTCCACGGCTGTCATGGGCAACGACGGCAGTATGGTCGTCCTCAAGCGCGGACGGTACGAAAATCTCAAGGACAAGGGCAAGATCTACAAGTCTGCGTCCGGCCTGGAAAAGTTCGTGGACGGCTTCGACCCTGCTGCGCCCGAGCCTGCTCGGCAGAAATTCCTGGGCCTCTTCTAGCAGAAGCCCTCGTTCGCTCGACGCGCACTACTTCTCGTTGTTAACGTTATGCGGTCCCGTTAAGTCCCGGTCTACACAAAGTCACACGGCATAGCACACGGCCGGTGTGTGATCTGTGATATGTGAGGGTCCGCCCGCAGGCGAATTTTGTATACCGAGGCGGTGCCCGGTGCCGAACCTGTCGGACCTTAAGACAGCATTGTAGATCCCTGGGCGAGGGTGGTGGAGGGGGCCCCGCCCGGTCCGGCGGCGGAGCAACCACCACCTCCCCCGGCGCGTGCCGGTACGACTACGAGCCTCTTAGGCAGGAGGATGTCTATGTCATCCCCCGTGGGATCCAGACCTGCCCCACGCCCCAGGCCATGGGGCTGACTGTCAGCGCTAAACCGTAACCCGCCGGGGGGCGGGCCGGATCCACGCGTTCCCAGACAGCCCCATTGGAGGTAGGCCGCTAGTCTAGCCAATCAGCCTTAAGCGAGCGGCCTGGCCGTTGGAATGGCCGAGTATCCGAGAGGCGGCAGCCTCTGCCCTCGGAGAGGGGGGGAGGTCTACGACCTACCTAGTTGTCCGGCATGCGAGGGCATGCTCGGCCGTTCGGAGTCCCCCCCTCGTAGAGGACGTCGGAGGGAGGGGAGGACGACTGTCTCCGCAGGCGGACCTCAGTTACGAGCCACCCTCCCCTCGAGACGCGAGGCCAGCGCTCTTGGGGCCGAGCCCCAGCGTGCACCCTCCGTCCCACACGCCTCACGCGGCCTCTGGCTGGAGCGGGATCGCAAGCGAGTCCCCCAGGCCGGCGCGCGTCTTCCGAGAGAGGAGCAGGAGCGAGGGACATTCTTAGTAAGGGGCATGCAGGCGCATGCACGGCCGTTCAGAAACTCTCCAGCCGTTGGAATGGCTGCGCTCCAGCCCCTCCCCGGGCCGAACGGGTAGTAGGCGTTGGCGCCGAGGAGGGAGGAGTCGCCGAAGGACGGGTAGTCGTCGGTCATGCGGGGGGAGGAGGAGTCGGCGAGCAGCAGGGAGGATAAATGCCTGAGAGGGTGGGGAGGGAGGCGTGAGGCGCGAGGTGAGGGGCGTGTGGGCGCGGGGCGCGGGGCGTGCGTGGGACGCGAGGCGTGAGGCGCAGGGCGTGGGGCGGGAGGGCGCGGGGCGCTCGAGGTGGGGGCAGGGTGTGTAGTGTGTGTGTGTGTGTGTGTGTGTGTGTGTGTGTGTGTTGGTTGTTTGTGCGAGGGCAGGGCAGGGCAAGGCAGGGCGGCGGCGAGCGGCGAGCAGCATCGGCGAGATCGGCGACGAAGAGAGGCGATGGTGACGTACACGGCGGCATTGTTCACGGCAGCAGCGCCGGTGGCGGCCCCGCGCAGCGGTGGCGGCGCCCTGTGTGAGGCAGACTGCCCTGCACAGCCTGCTGGGAACGCTCCCGACGAGCGGCGCGCCATGCGGGCCCGCCGCGGGCGACGCGGGCGGCGAGCCGCCACGCGTGTCGCAGGCGTAGACAGCACTGGCGAAGCGTGGCGGCCGGCGCCGGCCCCGGAGGCGGCTGCAGTATGAGCAGCGAGGCAGAAGTCACTGTCCAAGGCGTACTGAGCAGGCTGCCATCGAGCAGCGCGCCATGCGGGCCTGCCGCCGGCGACGAGATTGGAGAGCCGATAGGCGAGCCGTCGGTCGGTGGTGATATGGTCGGCGTCGGCGCGCGCCGACCAACGCGGCTGCAGTGGGCGTCATGTGGCGGGCGTGGGACTAGCCATTGTGCGAATTTCGGACGTCCCTTAGTGTTGTCCGGTGTGTGCTGAGACGATGTAGGCAGCGTGTAGATCGGTCCCGTCTGAATACACGTAATGCTGCTCACGAGCTGGCCCAAGGACACCTTATACGTACACGACACGCGGCCTTAGCGCGCTCACCTTTTCGGCCTCTCGAGCACTTGGAGCACTTTTGGAGCACTTGGAGCTAAACGGGGGGCCGTGGTGTGCGGCGGGGAGCGGGCCGTAATTGTAAACACGGGTCTCCGAGGGTTAGTTCCGTGTACGGTTTCCCCTTCACTGCAGAACGCCCCCTCTACTCGGAGCTAACGGCGGTAACGGGCACACAACACCATACGCCTCGCACGTACACGGCTAACGCCTAAATATGCGACTCGCCCCAGGGCTCCCCGTCCTCCGCCCGTCAGGGCGAGCCCTCAATTATCAGTTTGACTCGGTCTCTTGCTCGCTTTCCGGGGGTTGCCAGACTGCCTCTGCAGTCGCTTCTGATGTCTCTTCGTCGCACGTCGGCCGCGGCCCTGCGCCTGCCACCGTCTCGCCTTTTCTGCTCGATGCCGGAGCACTTGGAGCACTTGTGGAGTGCAGTCATTATACATTAACCGCACGCCCAGGACCGGGGAGCTAAGAAGCGCACCCAGTTGGCCAGATGATTGGCATCGGGTTGCGGGCAAGAGAGCCCTAGCCCTGGGGGGTGCGCGGTCGCAGGGCCATAACACGGGTCTCCGAGGGATAGCACCGCGCTCCGGGTTTCCCCTAGCAGCAGAACGCACCCTCTACTCGGAGCGAATGATACGAGAATACTCTCCGAGGGTTGGTCTGCGCTTTGGGTTTCCCCTAGCTGCGGCGGCGCCCCCTCTACTCGGAGCTAGTGATACGAGAATACGCACGATCCCCCATGCAATACCTTACCCGAAGATAATACAAAAGAATCCACACTTCATAAGGAGCTCACCTCAACACCTTGGGTGCAGTCCCTCTGACCCTACCCCCGGTGCCGGTGAGCGGTGTGGGCGCTGGCCGGCACACTTTTAGGTAGAGGTACAGTAAAGGGGTACAGACATGGGCCACTTACCTAAGGTGGAGGTATAGGACACCGCGCGCTACCTCGGCAAAGGTACGGGTGAGGTATGGGCGCCTCGCCGGACACACGCTCGCCCCTCCCGACGGCCCCGCCCGACACGCTAGTCAATCAAGAATACAGTCGCCTGCGAATGAAAAAAATATGCACTTCTCGTTCGCTTGTCTTTTCGAGCGCCATACGCATACCCCCGACCAAACTTCCGCCCGGTTATAAGATATAACCGACCGGAGTTCGATCGATAAAGCAAAGTTGGAGTAACGGCGACCGACCGCGTTCGCTCGCTCGCTCGCCACAATGCAAGCCGCCCTGTCGAGCAGCCTTTGCGTATTTTTTCATTTCGCTCAGTCCTCAGAGACATTCACCAACAACAAGAAAAGAAACAACATTTCAAAACTGAAACTTTGTTCGAACGCACGTGGCCAAGGACGTACGGCGCGAAAGGTAGTCAGCCGACCAGACAAAGCAACCGCGAAAAGCATGGGTGGCTGCAGCTCAAAGACGTACGACAACACCGCCGAGCCGGTCCCGCAGCCAGAGCCGACCAGCATTCCCGCCGACACCACCGCTGTCGACACCACGCCCGACGTCGCGCCCACCGAGACGCCCGCCGCCGACGCGGCGGCCGCACGCTCGGACGTGGAGCCCGAGGCGGAGGCGGCGGCGGCAGAGGAGCACAAGGAGGAGGGTTCGGTCGCTGAGGCCGGGGCGGCGCCTGTCGAGGCGGCCGAGGAGCAGCCGCCGGCCGAGCCGACCAAGGCGCCCTCCTTGGTGGACAAGTTGGTTGAGTACGTGTCGGGCCGCAAGTCTGAGCCCTCTGTTGAGGCTGCCAAGACCGAGGCGGCGGAGGCCGACGCGCCGGTCGAGGCGGTGGAGGCGCCAATAGTACGCGCGCTGATTGACGTGGAGGCGCCAGAGGAGGCGGCGGCGGCCGCGGCGGCCGCGGCTGCCGATGCGGTCCCCACTCTGCGCCCCGAGGAGTCCATCTTTGGTGTGATTGCCGCGGTCTTTTCGCCGCGCAAGGACTCCACCCCGGTGATCGAGGAGCCGCAGGTCGAGGAGGCGGCGGCAGAGGAGGCGCTGAACGAGGAGGTGCCGGCTGAGGCGGCTCCGGAGCCTTCTCCGGAGCCTGTGGCCGAGGAGGCTGCGCCTGAGGCTGCTCCGGAGGCGGCGCCCGAGACGGCGGTGGAGGAGGCGCCCGCGGTCGCTCCCGAGGAGGAGGAGGAGAAGCCGACGCTGATCCAGAAGCTATCCAAGGCCTTCTCGAACCTCCTGCCCGCCGCGCCGAAGTGCATGCCCTCCCGCCCCGCCCTCGACGAGGAGCCGGCCGACGCCCCGGCGCCTGCCGAGCCGGCTGCGGCGCAGTGGGGCACCAAGCGCATCAGCGCCCAGCACTGGAAGTAAGCGAGACCGAGTCCTCCCGACCGGAACACCTGAGCGAGGTACGTGTATCGCGAGGCCCTCGTGCATTGGGCTCCCGCACATCCTAGCGCGCTGGTACGTAGTGTTGTCTGGTCAGCACAAAGGGAGGACGGTGCACGGTGCGCGCGTGTCAGAGGTGAGAGCGAGGTGAGCGTTTTCTTTACATCTTCTTGCCACAACAAAGAGCCACTAATTGATGCCGTCTGCCTAAGTTGTGCTCTCGTGGAGACCATCCGCACACCCGCTCTGCGTGCGCCGTGCCGCTGCGGGGGCGCGTTCGCGCGAGCCGCGGGGCGTCGCGTCGTTCTGCTTCTGGGGGGCGCGGCTGGTCGAGGGCCCGCAGGCTGCGCGCGCGAGTGATTCTGAGATCAGGTTGGGCGTTTCCCCTTTGGAGGCAGACATTTCAGAAAGCGAATCCCAGGCCGCATCTCCCCGCTCGAAGCGGGGAACCCGTCCCGGGCGCCCGCTGGAAGCGGGGGCGCCCGCTCGAAGCGGGGGGCGCCCTCTCGAAGCGGTGGCGGCGCAGGCTGCCACCGCTGCCCGGGCGCGCCGAGCGGCGGCGGAGGGCCGCCCAGGCCACCACCAGTGCCTCTCCCACCGGCGGCGCGGCGGCAGCGGCGCCGACCGCCCCTCCATCAGCGGCGGCGCGAGGCTGTCGTCGGGACGCCGGCAGGTGACGCGCGAATAGGGTGCCACCGGACCGGCCGACGAGCACCCAGCGGATCCGTCATCGTGCATGGCGAGCCGAGCACCGCCGCGTCGCTTCTCGGCGCATTGGAGAGCAGAGGAAGCTGCTGGCGTCGCGGCTGGGATCGGCAGCGGCGCCAGCAGCTTTCTCGGATCTGAAGCGACTTTGAGCGCCGATCGATCGATCTGAGGGCTGACCGATGGGTGGCGCTGGGAGGAAGACCGCGCCACCCGTCGGCCAGCCCTCAGCTCCGCGACGGCGACTCGATAGTCGTGGCCGGCGCTCGGCTGCCACACTCTAAGCTGTGCCGCCAGGCGCTCCTGGAACCGTGACGTCACTTCTTATGGATGCGGCACTAGGGACGCCCAATGTTTTCGTAAATGTAGAAGCCACTCTCTCGCGTGTGGAAGCCACGACTGCGTAGTCGTGCTCCCCCGGAGCACGCCATAGAGCGCCGGTGGTGTACCGGGCGCACGCCCGCAGCCGTACACACTGCCCTGCCACCTGCCAGGGGGGCGCCGCAGGCGCCCCAAGCGGCGCGGAGCGCCGCCGCAGGCGGCGGACAGCAGGTGCGCAAAATTAAACGCCATTTTCGGTTCCGCAGTTTTGCCACTAACGTCGAAATCCGGTACAAATCGAGACATACGAGCCGAGCCCCCCACGAAAACCACAGAGGGGCGCGCGGACGACAGCGCGCCGCCAGGGGCGCCGCAGGCGCCTCAAGCGGTGCGGAGCGCCGCCGCAGGCGGCGGACAGCAGGTGCGCGAAATTAAACGCCATTTTCGGTTCCGCGGTTTTGGCACTGTCTACCAACTTTGGTACAAATCGACTTGCACTTGGTCTGAGCCCTGCGCTGCGTTTGAGCCTCCATTCTGAAATTACGTAGAAGGGAAGGCAGCAGGTCCGGCTTGCGAACTCCGCTGTGCGCCGACAAGCGGTATGGCGCCGAGTAGAGGCCATTTTCCTATTAGAAAAGGCTGTCGGAGAGCGCAAAATTTTCTTCGCTGCGCGCCCAACCATGGTGGGCACGCAGCGGGCGCCTGCGGCGCCAAATTTTTGAAATGTCTGCCAGTCGCCCAACCTGATCTCAGAATCACTCGCGCGGCGCACAGAAGAGCGCGATCCGCGCATATGCCCCAGAGCGCCTGGCTTTGTTCCCGCGCACCAATTCTCGTGTTGCTTTAAACTCAAATGTCCAGAGAAAGGACGCACACGGCTTCACACGAGCCGGGGTGCGCACGCGCAGGACAGAGGAGGACAGTGTGTGGTGACACGAAGAACAAGGGTGAAGAACGCGAGGTCTACTACCTGCACAGCGGTGCGCGTGAAGCTCTGCTCGAGCTCCTCCTGCCTGCTGCACTGCCCCGCGACGACCGCGCGGAGCGACGCGAGCGGCGCACGGGATAGGCACATCGATGGGCGTGGGCGACCTGCTTCTTGAGCTCTGCTAGGCGCCGACCACCCTCGACAAGTGGGACAGGCAGCCGGTGCTGGATAATGAGGAGACGAAGGTCGTTGGCAGTGAGGGCGCTCGAGCTCTTGCCTGAGAGCTTTGCCAGCAGGGCATCGTCCCTGCCGGTCACGACCGGAGGCGCTGACCAGCCAAACAGGTCGTCGTCAGGCACCGGGAGGAGCAGCGCACTGGGCGGCGGCAGCGAGGGTGGTGTTGTCATGCCGATGTCGGCCGCGGTGGTGTCGTTGGTCGCCACGGGTCCGGGAAATAGCGGCGGGTGAAGCGCGGCGCGCATGCGGTACTCACGCGGCGACGACATACTTCGACTTCCGTACGTCCTTGCACACCCTTGCCACGTGCGCTATAATTAAAGGGAAATCTATTCCTTCTTTTGCCCTCTCAGCCAGTGCGAGGTACGGTCCATCGAAAACCGTCCCTCTCCTCTCTTTCCGGCCGGTTCGGGGTGGCGGCACGGCGCGCAAAGGAGTGTGTGATTGACCCACCCGTGTCGAGCGTGAGGCTATGCCACAGGAGTCTGGTTCGATTCACCGCTTGGATCCGCGATGCTACACTGGAATGGCCTCCACGATGATGGGCACAGACGCCTCCGACACCAGCGGCACTGCCGTTGAAACCGGTCGTGCGCTTGTCACGCTGCTTCGAGGCAGAATCACGTCGATGTGGTATACGAGCCTCTTTGCCTCGAGCTTGACCCGTGTTGGCTCGGGCTTTGGTAGAAGGGACTCGTCCACCCAACCCGCACTGCTCCGTGAGCGTCGCCACCAGCCTTGCTCTGTGCTGCCGCGTGCAAAGGTATAGCGCCAGGCTTGAGAGAATCATGTACCCGACGTATATCCCCGCGATCAAGTAGTACGTCGGCATCCTGGGTGCTGACGAGTGCGTCGGCATCCTGGGTGCTGACGAGTCACCGCGCAGCAGCTTGCGCCCTGCGCCCCATCGCACGCGCAGGACTCCTCTCGGCAATCGCTAGTACAAGTCGCACCAGCCACCCGCATCCAAACCCCGGGCAGAAGTCACCCGCCTTGAATTCCGCTGCGCCTTCTTCTTCCGAATTCGTTGTGCACGGGGATAGATCCGTACATAGCAAAAAGTGTACCCCAAGGAGGCGCAGTACTCTGTCTGCCCCATGTCTAGCGCCTCAGTGCCGCTACATTCTGCATGGCACTCCTGATCCGCTTCGATCCAGCCGAACCCACATCGACGCGTTCTTTCTACACACGGGTTTGTGGCCACGCAGCATTTTGCTTCTTCTTCCTGTCCGTCGTCTTGATGCGTGCATTGGCAGTGGCATCAAATCTGTCGTGTGTGGCGGTGACTGAGTCGATTAGACTTACCGTCTTCATGCATGCGCGCGCACACATGGAAATGTGCCGACGCAAAATCGTCCGTTTTTATTTGAGCCTTGAGCACTGGATAGGGTCGATTCCGCATTGTGTTTAGGTATGTTGTTGGCAAATCAAGACACAGAGCTCACACCGCATGGACCATGGTACGGGACCCCTCGATCGTCTCGCCCTCCGTCGGTTTTTCTTTGCGAAATAGGAAGGGCTTGCCTGGGAAGGCTTGCCTCACTCTACTCGTACACTCTCACTCACTCACTTTCACACTTACTTGCACTTGATTGAGCACTTTGGGGCACTTGGAGTGCAGTCGATAACCTCGCATCCAGGGCCGGGGGCCGGGGAGCTATGAATGAAGCGGCTTGAACCTTGATTGAAGCACCGCGGCGGCCGGATGGATCGGCATCGGGCTGCGGGCTAGAGAGAGAGAGCTCGCTCATACACAGGGAAGAAAGGACGCGGGTCTCCGTTCTGCGCCTAAAAACGAAAGGGGCGTGTTTTCTTTTGTTCGAGCCTGCTCATCTCGCAACCCCTCGGCTGCGACCTCGCCGCCGCGGCCCCTCTCACACAGATATTCGGCCTCCTCATCGTCTCCTGACTCTCCATAGGGACTCACATGTCGCTTCTCGTGATCTCCGGGTTCAGCGGCGCGCTGCTGCCTCAGCGCTCAGCCGTGAGCATCCCGCGCTCGGCGGTGCATGCGATTGCCCGTGCCGCCGACGCCACGATGGCAATCGAGTCGGTCAAGGCGCGCCAGATCTACGACTCGCGCGGCAATCCGACGGTCGAGGTGGACCTTGTCGCGGGAGGCGTGCTGTCGCGGGCGTCGGTGCCGAGCGGCGCTTCAACAGGCGCCTACGAGGCGGTCGAGCTGCGCGACGGCGGCGACCGGCACATGGGGAAGGGCGTGCTCACGGCGGTCGACAACGTGAACAAGGTGCTCGCCCCGCAGCTGGTCGGGATGGACCCGACGGACCAGGCGGCGATTGATGCAAAGATGAATGGCCTCGACGGCACCGCAAACAAGGGCACCGTCGGAGCCAACGCCATCCTGGGCGTGTCGCTCGCGGCCGCCAAGGCGGGAGCCGCAGCCAAGGGCGTGCCGCTCTACCGCCACTTCGCCGACCTGGCCGGCAACAGCCAGCTGATGATGCCGGTGCCCTGCTTCAACGTGATCAACGGAGGCTCGCACGCGGGCAACAAGCTGCCGTTCCAAGAGTACTTTGTCATCCCGACCGGCGCAGCCTCCTTCAAGGAGGGCATGCTCATCGGCACCGAGGCGCGGCCGGACGCCGCGGCCGCCCTCGCCCTGACCGCGCCGCGGGCCGCCCACCCTCATCCAGCGCCCGCAGGTCTACCACAACCTCGCAAAGATCCTCAAGAAGAAGTTCGGCGGCGACGCCACGCTGATCGGAGACGAGGCGCGCCCCGGCGGTGCAGCGAGAGCAGCGCGCCGCACCGGTCGGCCCGGCCCTCGCCTCGCACTCCGCCACGCCCCTCCCCTCCCCTCCAGGGCGGCTTCGCGCCGCCGTGCGACTCGCGCTCCGGCGTGCCTCGCTCGAGGCGGGGCCGCCAACCTCGCTCGCGGCACGCCCACGACACGTCCACGACATGTGCGGTATAGGCATCGAGCTGGTGATGGAGGCCATCGACCAGGCGCCGCCGCGCCCACCCACCGGCGGCAGAGGGAGCGGCACCTTCCCCTCACCGCGCCGCGCCGCTTGCCAGGCGGGCTACGCGGGCAAGTGCACTGTCGGCCTCGACGTCGCCGCCTCCGAGTTCAAGGTCAAGGACAGCCCGTCGGGCAAGGACGCGCTGTACGACCTGGGCATGTGGGACGCGACGTCGCAGCAGATCACGGGCGCGGAGCTGATGGAGTTCTACGGCGGCCTCATCAAGGACTTCCCCGTCGTCACCATCGAGGATGGCTTTGACGAGGCGCGCCGCCGCCAGCGGGGACGGGGCGGGGGGGTGGGGCGAGGCGGGGGGTGGGGCGGGGCGGGCGGCAGAGGCTCGCCCGGCAAGTTTGGGGGAGGGGGAGGGTTGACAGGGGCCGCCGCACCCGCCGCACCCGCTGGACGACTCTCTCCGGACGACCCCAGCCCGCGGGCACCGGCCCCTTGTCCTGCCTGCAGGACGACTGGGAGAACTGGTCCGAGATGGTTGCAAAGTACGGGAAGGACGTGCAGATCGTCGGCGACGACCTCACCGTCACGAACCCGACCAAGATCGCGGTGAGGAGACCCCTCGCCCCCTCCCACGCCTGGCCCTCCCCGGCCGCTTCCCCCGTCCCGCTTCTGCTCCTCCGGCGGCGCACTCGAGCCGCTGACGCCGGGCCTCGCCCCTCCCCCCCCGCCGCTCTGCAGCGCGCGGTCAAGGACAGCGCGGCCAACGCGCTGCTGCTCAAGGTGAACCAGATCGGCTCCATCACCGAGGCGATCCAGGCCGTCAAGGACGCGAAGGCGGCCGGCTGGGGCGTGATGACCTCCCACCGCTCCGGCGAGACGGAGGACACCTACATCGCCGACCTCGCCGTCGGCCTCTGCACCGGCCAAATCAAGACGGGCGCGCCTTGCCGCTCGGAGCGGCTCGCAAAGTGCGCCACGCCTGCCCGTCGCGGGAGCGGCGTGCGGCGCGCTTGCCCCTCAGCCGCGGTGCCTCGCGCTAGGTACAACCAGCTGCTGCGCATCGAGGAGGAGCTGGGCGCCTCGGCGCCATACGCCGGAGCGGGCTTCCGCACGCCTCTGTGGATGAACGAGTAGACAGGACTGCTCCTCTGAGGAGTCATCGGCCAACCCCTTTGCCCATCCTCCGCTGCGCGCGCGCCGGGGGGCGCGCGCCAGCGCGATTGCGCCGCCCCGCGCGCCGGCCGCAGTGCGCAGAGGTGCCACTGCCAGAGGCCAGACCCAGAGCGCAGAGCCAGAGCGCAGAGGCCCAAATGGTCCGTCTCCGAAATGCTTGTGTTCCTCCCACTCGCTCTTTTCCGTACCGATTCTTATTACTGGCGTATGGTAATGACAACGTACAGAAGAACATGCGCACAGAACTCTCATACTGACTCCCCGACATAACGCGTCCCCAGGCGCGCCGTGATCATTTTCCGGCTCCGCGCTGCGCCACACACTGCCCGACACTCCCGCTCAGTCCTTGTCCTTCTTCTTCTTTTTCTTCTTCTTCGGCTCCTCGGCCGCGGCCTCGTCGGCCGCCTCGCGCTTCTTCTTCTTCTTCTCCTTCTTGCCCTCCTTGTCGGGCTTTCCGCCTGCCTCGGCCCGCAGCTCGTCCAGCACCTCCCTCATCGCGTCGACGTTCTTCTTGGGCGCCTCGCCAGAGTCGTAGAAGCGCAGCCGCTGCTCCACCTGCTCCTTGAGCTTGTCCCCGAACTTGGAGGTCGGCTCGTCCGAAAAGTTGTCGATCCGGCACGCGATGGAGCACTTGTTTGCGAGGTAGCGCGAGATGCGGCCCTTGTTCTTTGCGGCGGCGCGGCCGATGAAGGAGGAGTGGAAGATGAGCCCGTACTTGGGCGTGTTGCCCTTCGTCTTGAGCGCGCGGAAGAGCGCCTTCTCGGCGCCCAGGATCTGCACCGTCGATGCGGGGTACTTTGACAGGTTGGTCAGCGAGCCCGCGTGCGAGATGAGCCGCGCGCCGACCTGGTCGCCTGGGGGAGAGGGGGAAGGGGGAAGGGGGGGGGGGGGGGGGTCCCCCCGCAAGAGGGAAAAGAGGGGGGGGGGGGGGGGGGTTCGCTTTCGGCCTCAGCCTCAGCCTCGCGAATTGGGTGTGCGGCGTGTGGAGCGCGCCGATCAGGGCTTGCAGGTTTGGCGCGACGGCATTCATCTTGTTGTGCAGGTACTCCTGCAGGGAGCGGCGGTATTCCGCGAGCTTCATCACGCGCTGCGCAAAGGTCTCGATGTTGAGCAGGTCGATGTCCGAGATGTCCATCCCCATCGAGTGCTTTGACGCGTCGAGCACCGCCTTTGCCTTGTCGGCGTCCATCACGACGCGCTCGAGCTCCGGCAGCCGCTCCGTCGAGAGCGAGTCGCGCCGCCGGATGAGTGTGACGAGCGCGGCGTACATGTAGTTATCGGACACGATCTTGAGCAGCTCCGGGAAGTGCCACGAGTACCACTCGCGCACGCGCATCGCGAAGGTGTTGATGTCCTTGTCGAGCGTGTCGAGGATCGCTATCGACTGGATGATGTGCTTGTCGGCGCGGTTGACATCAAACTTGACCTTGCAGCGCGAGTAGGAGTGGGCGAGGCCCAGCTGCGCGCGCTCCACGTCGCCCGTCCGCAGCCCGGACAGGAAGGTCGAGATGTGCACCCGGCAGCCCCGCAGCAGCTCGCGCGTGAGGTCGTTGCACACGACCGGCGTGCCGAGCTCCTCCTGGATGGCCTTGCCGATCTTCTCCTCGCCGACGCCGAGGGCCGCCTTGGCCTTCTTGCCCGCCTTGGCGGCGGGCACATTCGTCTCCACCGCCGTCCGCAGCACCGGGGAGAGCACACCCTCCCCCAAGTCGTTGATATTTTCGAGGGCGTCCTCTGCCGACGTAAACGGCATAAAGCCGCGGAGCGCGCAAATCTTGGAGAAGCGAGAAAAGTCGGGCGTCGCCTTCTGTGCGTCCGCCAGCTCGGCGCCAATCTCGTCCGACTCCTTTCGGTCGAAGATGGCAAAGCCCATCGCCGTCTCCAGCAGCAGGAACCGGACCTCAACCTACAGCGGAGCTCCGGAGAGAGCTGTGCGCACGCGCGCACGCGGCAGGGCGGAGCGGCGGGCGCATGGAGAGAGACGACGGTGCACGCGGGGGGCGGCGGCCGACGCACCATGGCAGATCCCCCCTTCCGACGCGAGCTCGTGTGCTGTAGCTCGCGGTGGCGGCGAGGAGCGGCACGATCCTAAGCCTGCCCTATGGCGAACCGGGAAGAAAACCCGCGCTTTACCCGACATATGTTAAGCGGGCAGCAATTTGAGAATCCGGCTCTCGCTATAGGCGTGGGCAAGTTTGTCGTTTGCCTCTTTTAAGCTTCCGCCGGTAGTGATGCTCACATGAATCCAAAGTTCACGCTCCCCCAGTGGTCATCGGCCAATAAATAAATAAAACGGACACCTCTACTAGGAGATGGGTAAAAAGGAACAGGTCCCCGCCCTGCGGTCTTTGTGCAGGGTTCTTTGTGGGTGTGGTCGGCGGCTAGCCGGGGTCGTCCTCCCGATGGGGGACTAGCACTAGCCGTCTTCCACATGGTCCCTCGGGTCCCTGCTGCTCCTAATCTCTTCGTACATCCTCCTGCTGATCTCCGCAACGTCCTGCTCCCTCCCTCGTCTCGCCCTGCGCGACTGCTCCGCCTCACCGTCGTCCGCCCTGCGTCGTCTGGTGACGGGTCCTCCATAGTCGGTTGAGGTCGCCGCCCTCCTCGTGCCTCTTCCCAACGTTCCCTCGGCGGTCGATGCCGTCTGGTCCGCCTCCGCCGTCCCCGGGTCTACCCTGCCCTCGTCTGCACTAGCTTCTGTTTCGTCATCTCTGGCGCCTCTCCTCTTCTTTCTCCTCTTCTTGTATGCTTTGTACATCGCGTCGATTCCTTTTCGCGTGAGCACCATCCTGAAGCTCGCCCAGCAGCGGAACCGCTCCCGAAGTCGAAGGAGCATCATCAGTCTCACCCACTTCGCTCTCTGCCCACCGTCTCCGCTCCCTCCCGCTTGAGCCGCCGTCGTGGCCCTCGTTCACGGCCATACCACCATCGCCCGATGCATTTATGTTCTTCGGTGCCTCCCCCTTGCCCCAGTTAAATTCAATAACATCAACCTGCCTTGCAGAAGATTAGTATAGTTAAACGGGGTATAAATCACACGAATTGGACGTTGCGATCCATATCCATGTCCTACGTACCTACGTAGCTGACACTTTTGAGCTAGCGCTCCAGAGCGCTCTACAGCTCTACAGCTCTTACTACAGCGCTCTACACTCTGCATCCTCTACACCCTCCCTCAGCAGCGAGTCAGAATAGGGTAAAGAGCCCTTGGAGCACTTGGTCTTGGAGTGCAGTCATCAACCGCACATCCAGGGCCGGGGAGCTAAGAAGCGCACCCAGCGGGCCGGATGATTGGCATCGGGCTACGGGCTAGAGAGCCCTAGCCCTGGGGGTGCGCGTTCGCAGGGAAAGGGCCGAGGTAAAATAAACACGGTTCTCCGAGGGTTAGTCTGCGCTTTGGGTTTCCCCGTGGGGACGGCAGAAGGGGGGGCGGCGAGGGCGGTGGGGGGACGGGTGCGGCGAGGGGGGGAGCGGCGGGAAGGGGGAGAGGAAGAGAGGAAGAAAGGAGATTGGAGCGAACACCACCCTTTCGGGATTTCCGTGCCAGCCACCGGCCGATGGGTGTTGGCTCAGGTTCCTGCGAAAGAAAAAAGGATTGAAGTGAAGGACTTCTATATTTCGACGTAATCCGAACGCCGAAATTGATCAAGAAGCGTGAGATTCGACGCCGAAGGGAGCAAAGCACGCCCATGTCGTAGCTTGATGTCCAGCTTTGCGCGGCGCGCGGGCGCCGCGGGGCTGGGCATCGAGCGCGCCAGAGGGCCAATCGTGCCACGCGAGTCGCCATTTTGGAGGTATGACTGCGAGAAGAGTTTCGCCATTCTCGCCGAGAAGGTGAGGGCGGTTCTCGCCAGCCACGCCGCTGCGGCCGTGGGCGGGCGGGGTGCCTGCACGCCGCGCGCTAGGCCGCGCGCCGCCGAATCGGCCCGATCGCCCAGGCCTCTCCGCCGCTGCTCGTCGCCAGAGAGCTTCTCGGCGTCAGAATGCTCGTTGTGGAGCTGCATTTGAGCCTCGCCCTGAGTCTTCCCGCCCCCGGGCGTCGCGCCGTGGCGGTGCCAGCAGGTGGGCTCCGGCGCCGCCCCGCGCACGCGCAAGCGCGGCGGCGACGCCTCCGCATCACCCGTGCCACCGCCCGGCCGAGCGAGGAGCAGGAAGACGAGCAGAGACATGCTAAAAGAAAGAAAGAAAACACACAACCCAAGGGAGGGATGGGAGAACGGCACGCCGCCACCACACAGGGATTTTAAGGAGAGGAGAGTGTGATGCGCTAGCCGTCGCCCACCCTGGGGAGTCTGCCTCTTCTCTGCTAAAGAAAGAAAGAAAACGGACAACCCAAGGGAGGGATGGGAGGACTCTGCTGTCGGTCTGATCTGCCCACGCGATTTTCTCTTCTCGAGTGCTGCTGTCCTGAGGTGCCTTGATACAGCGGTGACGCGAATGAACGAGACGATCGCGCCCCCCGACGAGACGGCCGCGGCCGAGCCCTCCACGGAGCCCTCCGCCGAGACTGCCGCGCCCGCCGAAACGCCCGCCGCCGAGCCCACCACCGAGCCTGCCGCGGAGCCCGCTGCGCCCGCCGCAAGCGACTCGACCACCCCGGCCTTTGGTGAGGCGGCGGGCGAGCCGGCGTTCGGCGCTGCGGTGAGCGAGGCCGGCGGCGCCGATGGCGCCCCGGCGCCATCCTCCGATCCCGCGGCGGCGGGTATCACGCCCGCGGCGCCCGTGGCCGCCCCAGACGCGGCGGCGGCGACGGCTGCGGGTGCGGCGGCGCCGGGGGCGCTCGTCGGCGGCGGGAGCAGCCTTGCCGCGGCGGCCGCGGCCACCGAAGCGCAGCTCGCCGCCGCCCAGGCCGAGCTCGCCGCCGCGACGGCCGCTGCGGGCGGTGGGCTCGGAGGGCTCGGGGTCGGCCTCGGGGGCATGATGGGGGCGATGCCGGGCATGCCGGGCATGCCGGGCATGCCGGGCATGCCGGGGATGGGCGCCTACGGCATGCCCGGCCTCGGAGGCATGCCGCCCGGCATGGTGGGGCTCGGCGCCTACGGGATGGGCGCCCTCGGAGGGTACGGCGGCGCCCCTCCGCCGATGACAGCTCCGCCGCCAGACGGGACGAGCGCTGCTGCGCCGGAGGGGGGGTGGGCGCGGCTGATCGAGGGGTACCCGGCGTGGTCGAACGCCGCCGTCGCGATCGGCAAGCGCATGCAGCAGCTCGAGGCGCAGCCCGGCGTCGTGCGGCACGACCTCAAGGTAGCCAAGCCCCTCGTGGGGAGGCTGATCGGGGTGGGGGGGGCGACGTACCGCGAGCTGCAGCAGCGGACGGGCGCCCACCTGTTTGTGCTCGACAAGGAGGGGCCGCCCCCCGGCTGGGGGGACGACTCGCGGCTCGTCACCCTCATGGGCTACGACGTCCAGGTCTCCAACGCCCTCGCCGAGATCACGCGCCTGCTCGGCTCCTCGCGTGTCAACCCCGGAGGAGGAGGAGGAGGAGGAGGCGGGTATGGCGCGGCCGCGGCGCAGGGGGGAGGGGGGTACGGCGCGGCGCAGGGCGGCTACGGCGCCCCCGCCGGCGGCTACGGCGCCCCCGCCGGCGGCTACGGCACCCCCGCCGGCGGCTACGGCGGCGGCGGAGGAGGAGGATACGGCGGAGGAGGTGGAGGAGGGTACGGCGGAGGAGGAGGCGGGGGAGGCGGAGGAGGATACGGCGCGCAGCGAGAGAAGCCGCCTGCTCGCGCGCTCACACCCGCCGGTCCTCACAGCTCCGGCTTCGGATAGGCGCCTCGGTCGGCTACGCGTATGGCGGCGGCCCCCCCCGCGGCGGCGGTGGCGGTGGCGGCGGCGGCGGTGGCGGTGGCGGCGGCAGCGGCGGGTACGGCGGCGGCGGCGGGGGCGACTACGGGCAGAGCCCGACAGTGTCCGGGCCAAACAACCGCCCGTCGGTCGGGCCTCCCGCCGCGCCGCCGCCACAGTCTGACTACGGCACCGCGGGCCCGCAGGAGAACCCGCAGAGCACGGGCGGGATCGGTCAGATCCTCGTCAACGGATGGCCGACTGTGGCTGAGCCTGCGGGGCGGCGGATGATCTCGCTCGGCGCCGACCCGAACGTGGTGCGGCACGACGTCGCCGTCGGAAAGGCTTACGTCGGCCGGCTGGTCGGGCGAGGCGGCACGACGTACCGCGAGCTGCAGCAGCGGACCAACTGCCACATCTTCATCCTAGACAAGGAGGGACCCCCCCCCGGCTGGGGCGACGACCTGCGGCTCGTCTGCCTGATGGGGCAGGAGGGGCCCGTCGCAAACGCCCTCTCCGAAGTCACAAAGCTGCTCGCGACGGCCAACCCGCGCCCGCCCGCTTCGGTGCCCGGCAGTGGCGGCCTCTCGCAGAGCGCAAACTCCGGCTACGCCAACCCGCCGCCGCCAGCGGCGCCGCAGCCGCAGCAGCAGCCCTCCCTCGACTACAGCAGTTACGGCGCCGCTGCCGCGGACCCCGCTGGCTACGGTGCCGCGGCCTACGGCGGTTACGCGGGCTACTACGGCGCCCCCCCGCCCCCCCGGCCCCCCGCCCCCCTTCTCCCCCTCTCCCCCCCTCCCCTCTCCCCCCTCCCCCCTCCCCCCTTCTCCCGTCAGCACCGTCACCGCCCCGCCACCCCGCGCCACAGGCCAGCCCGCGGCCGCGGACGCCTACGGCCAGCAGTACCAGGCGCAGCAGCAGTACGCCGCCTACGGGCAGCAGCAGTACCCGGGCTACGACGCTCAGTACGCTGCCGCCGCCGCCGCGGGCGGGAACGCTGCGCTCTACTACAACGGCGCGGCAATGCAGGGGTACGGCGGCTACGACGACCGGCGGGGCACCAAGCGGGGCGCGCCCGAGGGCTTGTGAGCGGCCCGGCTGGCGTCCTCTCCGGCCCGCGGCGGCACCAGCAAAGGGCACTGATGCCGACTGGCGACCTCCTCCTGTTGGTGAACGCGATGTTTGGAGGCTCCCGTGGGTTAGGCCGAGGGTGGGTCCGCGGGACTCTACATGCACCCGAGCTCAGCGGGCATGATCGATGAACCTCGCCATCGGTCGGGTCGCCGCGCGGGCCAGGTTATGTGCGCGGGCCAGGTTCTCGAGGTTCGGAGCGGCGTTGAACAGCGTCGCACGTCGGGTCACGTCGGTGAAAGCTAGTGGGATTTGTTCTCGGTCGTTTCGCTGCGCACTCTTTTTTACTATCAGAGTATTGTGTGGCGGACTCGGGAACACGGGCCGGACGCATGCAGCGGTAGACGGGTCCGACCCCTCGCCTGTCCCCGCCGAGCGCTGCGCTGTGCCGCCTGTGGAGCGAGCGAACGTGCACAAGCCCACAGGCCACAGGCACCTCGCGCTCTCTCACACACGACACACGCAAATGCACATGCAGCGAACATACACACAACGACGCACGAGTACAAGCAAACGTACTGGACGAGGACGCACGCCGGCGCGAGGCGCACGATTGGAAATGGCGCTACTCCAAGTCATCATAGTCGTCCTCCTCCTCCCCGTCGGCGGGCTTGGACGCCGCTGCGGCCGGGGCTGCGGCCGGGGCAGGAGCGCTGCTCTCGCGGAGGAAGGCGCGCGCCTCGGCCGCGCTCACGCTCGAGTCGTCGTTCTCGCTGGAGCTTATCAGACCGGCGGAGAGTGCGCTGTCCTCGCAGAGCACGCGCCAGAAGGGCTCGCGCGACGGCGCGGCATCGCCGCTCTCCCCGAGCCACTGGGCCTTCACGCTTTTGAGAAGCTCGTTGTACTTGTCCGGCTCGTCCTCCTTGATGCAAGCCGAACGCAGCGCGCGCAAGCAGTCGAAGCCCTTGCGGGCAGCCGGGTCGTCGGGTCGGCCAGCCTTGTCGAAGAGCGAGAGCAAGCAGCTCCGCATCTGCGCCATCGCGTCCAGGAGGACCGCACTCTCCCCGGTCGACACCATCTGCCAAAAGCACTCGACGGGGCGCCCAGAGTCGATGCGGAGGCCGCCGCCGCCGCCGCCCAGAGGCGGTAAGTCCTCCACAGCTGCGCCGCCGCCGCCGCCGCCGCCTTCGCCGCCGTTTCCGCTTCCGCCGCCGCCGTTCTCACTCTTGCCGCCACTCTTGCCGCCACCGGGAGACTCGCGCCCGCCGCCAGCCTCGCCGGCCCTCGGCCGCTTCGCGCCGCCGGCCGCCTCCTTGAAGACGCGCTTGCCGGGCTTGCGGAGCTCGCCCGTCGGGCAGGCGGCGGCGAACCGCTGCGCCGCCGGCCGGGCGGCCGTGAAGAGGTCCTCGCCCGGCTGGAGCGGAGCAACGAGGCGCGGCGGCGGCGGCGGCAGCGCCTCGGACTTGTGCAGAGCGCGGTGCACGACGATCTGCTGGAGGCGGGCGTGCTGCGGGTTGAGGACGTCCTTCGGGCGGCGGAGCAGCGCGCGCGCCTGCGGCTCGAGCTCGGAGATGCGCGCCTACGGTGGCCGCGCCAGCCTCATGGCGCTCGCGGGGTCGCGCGCCGGGCCAGCAACCCCTGCGGGTGGCGCGCCTCCGCGTCTGCGCCTCGCCACGCGGCGGCGTCGAGGTCGAGCGCGTCGACGAGGGCGTCGGCGGCGGCGCGCTGCTCTGCGCTGGGCGGCGCGGCCAGCGAGGGCGGCAGCGGCGGCCACTGCAGCGCCTTGACCTCGTCGCTGAAGGGGAGGATGTTGAGGTGGAGGCAGCCGCTCGCGCTGGGCCAGAGCACCGCGAGCCGCGGCGCGAGCCCTTTGCTCCTCGCGTAGCGCGCGATCCCGAGGAGGCGCTCCTCGTCGAGGACGTAGCAGAGGGCCTGCACCGCCTTGTCCGCGCCGGCCACCGCGTCGTCGCCGACCAGCACCTCGGACGGCCCGAGGAGGTAGTGGCGCGGCACCGAGGCGCGCGGCACAAAGCCGTGCAGCTCGAGGCACTTTTCGGGGACGCCGTACCGCATGTTCTCCTCGAGCGCGCCCGCGACCGGGATCACGTCGCGTCCGTATCGGTAGGCCGCCACCATCTCGTTAGGCCTGACTTGCGTGTCCAGGTCGCTCTTCAGCACCCACTGCACGTCGCGGTCCACAGACTCCGAGGGCGCCGCCGCGCCGTCGTCGGCGGCGGCGGCGGCGCGCGTTTTGGTGACGCTCTTGAAGAGGACTGGCGCCGAGTTGCTCGCCGCCACCTTGCGCCACACGCGCACGGGCAGGAAGCCGCCCCCGCTCCCCCCGAGCGCGAGCGGGCCGCGGTAAGCGGCGGTCGACTTTGTCGCCTTTGCGCGCGGCTCGCTCCACACCCTCTTTGCCTCGGACCACTCGCGCGCGACGAAGGGCTTGGGCTTGTCGGGCTTGCCCAGCGCGTCGAGTCGGGCCCCCAGCCTGGCGAGCGCGGCCCACGTCTCTCCCGCCTCCGACTGAGGCGGCGGCCCCGCGGCGGAGGAGGGCGCGCGGGCGGCGCGCACCTCCTCGCCCAGCGGCCCGAGTGCCGCAACCTCGAGCACGATGTCGTTGTCGGCGAGCTGCGAGGCGATGTCTGCGACCTGCTCCTCGTCCAGCTCCGCCCTCGACGTTGCGCCATCGCTCACGAGCAGCACCCGCTTGCTCCACTTGTTTTTGCGCACATATCGGGCAATCGCGTCGGCGGCGACCACCACGGCGTCAATCAGGTCCGCGCGGCCGGACTCGGCGTGGATCGCGCCGACGTTCTCGATTCTCTTCATGCCGACAGGCCCCATCGAACCGACCACCGCGATGTGATCGTAGCCGCCCATCTGGAGCGCAACCTCGTTGTCGGTCGCGTCGGCTCCAGCCTTGAGCAGCCCGACGGCGTCCTGCTTGGAGTGGAAGATCCTGTCACACAGCATCCGCTGCACCGCGCCGGTGACGTCGTCCAGGTGCGGGCGCATCGAGTCGGAGACGTCCAAGGCGATGAACAGGGCTTCTTTAGAAGCCATTTGGGGGCTCCCGCGCAAGCACGGCCGGAAGAAGTGGGAAGCCGCGAGGGAGAGGAGCACGCTCGCTTCCGCGCGGCGCTCGCCGCAGGACAGAAGGACTCCGCCGCCCGCCGCCCCGCTGACCCCTTGCACACGCGGCTCGGCCTCCCGAGTAGGCGGCCGTGAGCTTTGCAATCGAGGAGCTCGCTCAGCCGCGGTGCTCGCGATGCCGCCGCCACCGCCGCCGCCTCCGCCGCCCGAGACGCTGGGATATCCCTGGTCGCTCCTCCCTCCTCGGCGGGCAGCGACACGCGCGGCACAGAGCTGACGCCGTTGGTCGCCGGACTCTCATATGAAAAGGAGCGCCACTGCGCACGTCCCCGCGCACGGGGGCGGTGCGCAATTATGAGCGGGGGTGGGCCCGGAGGCGTGCTCCCTCTAATGGGGGTGGCGTTCCCACGGGGGCTGCGTTCCCACGAGCTGGCCACACCTTCCTAAAATGAATAAAAGAACTCGCCTACATTTAAAAAGAACTTGCGCGCGCGGTGGCGGCGGGTGTGCTGATCTAGCTGAAAAAGAAATGCCAGCTGGGGCTGTGGGACTCGGTCGCCCCCGTTCGGCGCGTTCGGCCATACGACGAAGCGCGTTTGAGGCGACGCGCGCTTCGCAATGGTGGTAGCCGGGCCCGCATCCCCCACTCGCGGCCGCCAGCCCATCCTGATGCTCGGGCTGCTCTCCGTGGGGAGTCTGGCGCTCTTTGGGGTCGGACTGGCCGAGATTGGCTCGTCACAGGAGACTGCCACGCCCCTAAAACTTCCGCCGAGCGACCGACTCCCACGCAGGACGGAGTCGGTCGCACTCATTACCTCTCCCCCGAGCGACCGCCTCCCTCAACGGATGGCCCTGTCCGAGCACAAGAGCCCCGTCGTGATTGGCATAGCGGGGGGCTCCGGCTCCGGCAAGACAACCCTTGCTCGTGCCATTGCCAAGCGGCTGGGAAAGCAGCTCCTTCATCTGGAGTTTGACTCGTACTACAAGGACCTGGCGCACCAAACCTCCGCGGAGCGGGCAAAGGCGAACTTTGATCATCCAGATAGTCTCGACGCAGCCCTGCTTCAAAAGCACCTCCTGTTGCTCAAAAGTGGCGGGTCGATCGACGTCCCCGTCTATGACTTTGCGACCCATACTCGCCGGAAGCAGCCCCGGCGGGTAGCGCCCGCGCCGCTCATCCTCGTCGAGGGCATCCTCCTCTTTTCCGTGCCCGAGCTCGCCACTGCGTGCGACATCAAGATCTTTGTGGACGCCGAGCCCGACCTTCGCTTCAGTCGCCGCCTCCGCCGCGACATCGTGGAGCGCAGCCGTTCCGTCGATGCCATCATCGGGCAGTGGGAGGAGACGGTGAAGCCGATGCACGACAAATATGTGCAGCCCTCCAAGCGGGTTGCCGACATCATCGTGCCGAATGGGATGAACCCGGTGGCAGTGGAAATGGTCGTCGCGAGGCTCGAGTCCCTCCTGCATTCGCGAGGATAGCCAAGGGGTTGGATCTCGGAGCCGGCTCCGCACCGTGCGAGTCGCTCAAGCGAGCGAACGCACTCTGTGCAGACGCCACCGCCGCCGGTCGGTGCTCGGAGAAGCCGAGGCCGAGCCTCATACTCGCATGCCCGCGGGCCAAGGCTCGGGTCGTCGGTCGACAGCGCTTTTGACGACCGTGGCACGGCACCGCGCCCCTCCCCCCTTCCCCTCCCCCGCCGAATCCACGCGGCCATGACAGACAGAGCAAAGCTTGCCCGCGCCAGCAGCAGGCACCATCCCCCTGTTCAGCGTGTGCGGTTGCGCCACATCGATCCGCCGTGCAACCGCGCTGGCCTGGGGGGGGCGGCGTCCCGAACCTCCAACTCTCCAGCGGCCAGCAGCCCTCCTCCGCGAGTCCGCAGTGCGGCCCCGTGTCCGACGTGGAGCCGCTCCGCGCTCGCAATGTATCGCTCGCTCGTCACTGCACCCACGCCGGACGCCGCACTCGGGTGCCACAGCGGGTCGGATCAGCGTGAACCAGTGTCAGTGCGCGAGATGATGCCGATGGCCCGATGCCGCCTGAGCTTGCGCCGGTGTCGAAGTACGAAGATATCTTCGTGGTCGTCTTTAAGTTAAACTTCGTCGTGGCGGGCGGCACTGGCCACTGCGGGTGCCGTGCGGCGAGACGGAGAGGCCGAGATCTCGAGGCCGAGAGAGATTGGCGCCGTACGGGGTACGGCCGCTACACCCCGCCGGGCGCACCGCGTCCGCGGGCCACGTGCACGCGAGCTTCTCGGTCTCGCGAGCCCTCCGCTCGGAAAAATGTGTCTGTCACGGTACTTCGGTAAGTCACACGAGAGAGAGCAGAGACACAGTATACACAGTCACAGATAGTGACAGAGAGAGACTTGTGTGTTCTCTTGTATTGCGGCTCAGCGCCGAAGAAATAAATTACACAAAGACGATGCACGACCCCCGCAAGCACACAACAGTGACACCGCCCCAGCGCCCGCCCCGTCCTCGACTCCCTCGAGTGGTCCGGCGAGTGGACGCCACAGTGGCTCTCTGTGTGAGGTGAGAACTGACGGATGCGCCCTTCGGGGTTTAGCAGCCGTCACCCGCCGGTCAGCGGGCGGCATCGCCTTTCCTGTACGCCCCCCCACTACTTGGATGCGCGCGATGCGTCGTCGACCCGCCGGGTGCGAGCCGCGGCAGGAGGCAGAGCGCCTCTCACCTGGGGGAGGGGGAAGAGGGAGGCGGTCGGCTGTGGGAGGCAGAGGGTCGGCCAGCGGGAGAGGGGGGGGGGGGGGGGAGGGAAGCCCGCGGGGGTGATTTTTTTTGGGGGGGGGGGGGGG